GGTTTTCTTAATATGAGTTCTACTTTTATTAAAAGGACGTACAAAGTGATAAGCAAAGAGGGATTCCCAAGCCGTTGATGCAACAAAGACAAGGAATTAGCTTGGGATGTATGTGCATGAGCATGCAACTTGAGAATGTAAACTCTATTGTAGACTTCACAACAACCAATCTGCGTCTTTGCCGTTTGTTCCTATATCAAATAAAATTGTTCAGTAAATGAAAGATGACAATTGTGAGAGTTGACAAGTAACTAACGGGTATCAAATTGCACTTGTCAACTTGTCAACTCTCACAATTGTCATCTTTCATTTACTGAACAATTTTATTTCACTCTAACTAAGTTGGGGAAAAAAAATATTGTGCAGTGTCAGCGTAGGTGACACGTGCACTCATCCGCATAAGTTTTCTATGACGTGTGCACCATCTGGCAAACTAGTAGTATGTGGAGGCATGCAAACAACACTAGAAAGATGAACAAGTGCTCCTTCCATATGATGAGAACTGACAACAAGAAACATGTGGTGTCATATTATTGAGGTAGGGAATGACATAAATGTCAACTGCGGAGTTGGCAGTATCGCTAGGTGGTGTGCTGTTACCGAGAGGAGTGCCCAAAAGCTGGGTGTTACTCCCGCGACCACCAGCGCCACTTGCATGGTTCCCACAGCCTCCTCAGGCAGCCCCACGGCCTCCCCTTTATTGATTTGAACCGCAACCTCGTCCTCATCTTAGGGCCGGAAAGCCAAAGATTAAGAAACAATGATCAATAGTATGACTGGTTTTACCACAAAGAATGCATTGAAAAGGGTTTGGCCCTGAACGAGTATCAGCAAAGGTCATGGCATCCGTGTGATCGTTCCTGAGGGGACACAATTTATTCAAAAAAAAAATCCCATAATAATAAAAACTTTTAATAGCCAAAGCGTAAACTAACCTACCTTTTAATTGTGCAATGGAGAAAGTGTTTTTGGGGGTCGTAGAAATTGTTTTTGAGATGCCAACTTTTAAAAGCGTTTCATAATGACTTTTCATCATTGATGCTCATAAAAATTTCTTTCTCAAAGTAGCACAACAAACAATCTGATAACATGTCATCTCCCAACAGGTAATATCAATGCCAACTCTTTAAGTCGATATACCAAAGGAAAGTAAGTGTGATAATTCATCTCTATCATCTTGTTTACAAGAGTTGCAAGATTCGGGATACTAGCAAAGACTTCATTTGATCTCATGTCAGAAATGTAATTTTGGAGTTAATGAATAAACTCAATTCGATCAGTAGAACTAAAATCTTCTGAATAAAACTCAGCAAGTTTCAATAGTTGATCATGATCAAAACTCGCAAAACAATTAGAAGGATCAAGACACATTACACATCTTGGTAAAGTTGTGTTTGCCTCTGTGAAGTATCTATCCATTTCGATAGCAAAAAATATCAATTACCTAACATCAAATAAATAATATTAATAATAATAATAATAATAATAATAATAATTTAAATTATATAAGATTAACATACTTTCTTAAAAACTCATACTAAAATATAAATTAAAATAAGAATATTGTACCTCTGTAAAGATTTCTCCATGAAAATGTACATAGCTTGTCATTGATTCACCACCTTTCATGTTCTTTCTTGATTGGCCACGAAGAAAATCTTCCATGTGAGGCACATCTATTGCATGTTCTTTACAAAATTCAATCCTTTTTTTTCAAAAAATCATCCCATCCATGATCTCTATAATCTTGAAAGTTCTTTTTCACTACACCATTCATATCCAGAGCACAACTAATGTTTTGATCTCTTGCTTGTAACATCTTTGACAGAGTATTAGTCATAGCTAGAAGTTTTAGCATAAATTTTCTAATAAAAATGAACTCAAAAGAGTCCATTTTATCAATAATGCCACCTACACTATTTTTAATTTTGGTTGTCTCACCATGCTTGTGTAAGGAATCCATCACTATACTAATAGCATTCCATATATCAATATGACGTACAAGTGTTTTGTAGTGAGATCCCCAATGTGTATCACTCGGTCAAGCTAAACTTGTTGCTTGATTTTGCCCCTTACCAGTCGACAATTCAAATGTTTCTATGTGATGCAAAGTTTCCTCTTTGCGTACTTGAAGAAAGAAAGTCCTTCCGTTTGCATGATGATGCAATTGTATTAATTAACAATCATCAAAAGCTTTTCAAAAAAATAAAATATGCTCTCCCTATCACGTGCAACAGTTAGAATAACTAACTAAAGTTGTAGGGAAAAACAAATAACATAGTATGCATTCTTGTTTTCATTAACAATAAGTTTTTTCAACCCATTAAATTGGTCGCGCATATTTGAAGCTCCATCATAACCTGACCTCTAAGTGTTGAAAGAGATAATTCATGTTTTGTAAAAAAGTCATGAATTGCCTTTTAAAGAAACTTTGCAGAAGTCTCCTCAACATAAATAAAATCCAAGAAAACGTTCTATAGTTTCTCCTTTATCATTCACAAATCTCAAAATCAATGACATTTTCTCTTTCACTGAGCAATCTCGAGCTTCATCAACCAAAGGAGCAAACTTCTTATTTCCCATCTCCCTATATATGACATTTCTTATTTCCATTACACAACTTTCAATAATATCTCTTTGAATGATAGGAGAAGTCATTTGATTATTTTTAGGAGCATTTATTTGCATGACTTTATCAGCAGCTCCATTAGTTTTACATAACTAAGAAATGAGTTTGATAAAATTACCTCGATAAATTGAGTCAAGGGATTCATCGTATCCTCTAAATGCCAAGCCTTTCCCTAGAAGATATCAAGCCATTTTCACAACTATTTCTAAACGAGTACGATATTGATCTTCAGCGGTAACTGTTTTAGTAGATGACACATAATCCACATTCTCTATTGATTGCGATATTGTTGAACTCTTATTCTACAATTTTCATGAGAACTTTCATTGGTTCCTCCATGGTCAACAAATGCTTTTCGACATTCTTTCCAATTGTCAAATCCAACATTAGTAAAAGCATTTGATCCACTTTTATTTGTATTTGAAAATAAATAACAATACAAATAATATGCTTTATCCTTGATCATGAAATACTCCAACCACTTATACTTTACATACCAAGGACTTACGAAGCGTCTATTTTTCTTGCCAATCTTTGTTTTTGGAAATTAATGCAACACTAGCTGACAAGGGCCTCTTGCTAAGTACCTTCTACTTAAAGAATCTCTACTTTCAAATGGATAAGAATTAATTAGTTTTCATAATCCTGGATCAGCAATAATATCATCAATTGAAACTATGCTTTCTTTCTCTAAAGAAGGTGTCTTTTCTTTGCCTTTGTTAGACAATAATACTAATATTACTTCTGGTAGTATTGGTTATGGTAACGTTTGATTATTAGTCAGCTTCCTATTCATATTTGTGATAGTTGTTGTATATTAGTTAGTCTATATTCTCTATTCCTAGTTGTGTTAGAAATCTCTTCTACATATACTCTATTATGTACTTCATAATTCAAGGAATAATATTATTATTCCAATATTTCAACATGGTATCGGAGTCATCGCTCTTGGTGACCTAAAAGAGTTCTTTGCTTCCATCGCTGCCGCCGGTAATTCCAGCGACGATGGGTCCACCCTATTCACCTCTATTTTCTTTTCCTTCTTTTATTCTCAAATGAACTTCTCCACTCAAATGAAAAAAAATAAAAAAACCCTATCGAAATCACACACAAAAATCATCAAAGGAGGAAATTCTCTCTTGTCATCTCCATGGTTCTTCAAAACAAATCCAAGTCCTCACAAACTCTCTCAATTCATCCTATCTTCTCAAAAAATGATTGTTGTTTCTCTCTAATTCACCATATCAAAATCTCAGATCCAAATCTTTTTTCCATCACCAATTCTTAACCCACTTTTTTCTCTCTAAAATCACTCATTCTAATCATTACTTCCCTTCTCTTTCTCTTTTGTTGAACCAATAAAAATAAAAATAACAACACAAAAACAACGCCAATAGGGAAAGTAGTGAAAGAGAAAAAAATACCTCTACACCCATTCAAGAAAGAAATAGGGCATTGCCCGGATCCAAGAAAAAGACAAAGAATGTCAAGTATCTTCAGTCAAACAGACACCTCCAATAGACTTCTCTCTTCTCCAACGATGTTAGCAGCTTCTAGTGCAGGTCAGATTTCTCTCTTCTCCAACGACGTCAACAGTAACTGGCGCACGTCAGACTTCTCTCTTCTCCAACGACGTGAGCAGCCACCGGCGCATGTCAGACTTTTCTCTTTTCTAACAACGTCAGCAGCCACCGGCGCACGTCAGACTTCTCTCTTTTCTAACGACGTCAGACTTCTCTCTTCTCAAAGTTTCCAATTTCTAGCTAGTGTCCAAACTTTCTCTTGCTTTAGTGTCCAAGCTTTCTCTTGAGGGGGGATGTTAGACAATAGTATTAATATTACTTCTGGTAGTATTGGTTATGGTAGTGTTTGATTATTAGTCAGCTTCCTATTCCTATTTGTGATCGTTGTTGTATTTTAGTTAGTCTCTATTCTCTATTCCTAGTTGTGTTAAGAGTCTCTTCTATATATATACTTCATAATTCAAGGAACAATATTATTATTCCAATATTTCAACAGCCTTTATCACTTACAGATGGTAAATTCTTTGGTTGTCTAACAACAAATTTGTCCATTTCAAATGTTCTCAATTCAGTAATAAAATAACGATTTCAATAAATCAACAAATCCATCAATTATTTAAAAACCCCATCAATTATACATCAATTTTAAATGTTAAAACTTAGAAAGATAATGAAAATTGCAAGGAATTCTAGCAAACACTATGGAGTATTTCTTTCCAAAGACCCATAGTGGAAAAAATCCATAAAAGATCCATGAAATATTCAAACATACAGCAAATCCCAAAGTGGCGAAAAATTCATCATTTACAAAAAATTTTTATAAATTATACATCATAGCCAATCGGATATGTTGCGTAGGGTTTGGCAATAAGTAGCCATGGGCATGGATCCCTTAACCGTGGTGCGGAATTGATGTTCCAATTGCATCGCCCGAGCGGGTTTATTGTCATGGAAGAGATCATGAATAACCCGCCAAAGCTCGGAGGCCGTAGAAGTGGAGGAGATGACCAAGTCGGAGACCTCATCGGTCACCGTAGAGAGGATCCATCCTTGAAGCAAAGCATCGAGTTGAAACCATTCGTCATCATCGGCGGAAGAGGGGATCTTGGAGCCGGAGAGAAACCCATGGAGATTGAACCGGCGAACAAGGAGCAAGAAGAGACGNGGGGAGAATTTGAGGAGGTGGTGGAGGAAGAAGGAGATTTGTCCGTCGTCTTGTCGGAGTTGTCCATGAGGAAGAGAGGAGGGGAGGACGACGGAGGGGGAGGGTGGGCTGCTGCGGCAGTAACGCCGAGGGAGAGGAAGCAGCGCCGAGGAGAAGCAGAGCCGAGAGCCGGAGAAGAAGTTTAGGGTTTAGGAACTAGGCTCCGATACCATGAAGAATGAATATTTTCTATTAATTAAATCTGTAGGAGTACAACCATATTTATATAAAAGATGGGACTCCTAATCATGGTAGGAGTATAAGTAAGGAAACCTATACAAAAGGTAACTACCAATAATACAATGATATAATAATAAATACATTAAATATACTTAACATAAATAAATATGGTAAATATATTTAACAATACCTGATAAGTGATTTGCATGGGAGGAGGGAGTCGCACACCGGCTGAAGAATTGCAAAAGGAGTGATTGCAGACTTGCTGATTTGAGAAAGGTAGATGTTGAAGCCGAAGGTGGAGGACGGAAGGCATATGCAGAATGGCAGAATGAAGTGGAAGGTAAAGGGTTATTTTACTCAATTTTTTAGGGAAGGAGTAAAACGATGACGTTTTACTAATTTTTTAAATAAAAAAATTAGATGCCAACTGTGTCAGGAACCAACTCAACCAGAAGCTCAAGCTTGTGTCCCAGGAAATGTTTTTTAAGTGGCGCTAAGTTTCGAACCCGTGACCTCTTAGTCAACGAGGCTCCGATACCATGTCAGGAACCAACTCAACCAAAAGCTCAATCTTATGGTTGTGGCCCAGGAAATGTTTTTTATATTCTAACAAATTGTCCTCCATTCTCACAACTCTAAAGGCTCAAAGCCCAAACAAAAATACGAAGTTGCAAGTTTGCAGCGGCAAGTCAGAGGGCACAACCAGAGATCGACATCGGTGACGCTATGTCGGTGGTACTATGCCAAAAAATTATCGGGAGGGCATGTGCCCCACTGTGCCCCCCTCCTCCACCCTTGTATATAAATAAAAATATTAATAATCTAAATATTACGTTAAAAATCATGAAAAGTCAACAAAAAATAATATAGATGGACAAGGAATAGTAATATCGTGGCTTACTTAAAATGTGAAAGTACATGCAACAAAAATACACGTTAAAAACAGAGAGAGTATATGATATTTTTAATATCACAATCATTTTCATTGTCATAAAAAAAGCACTCTCCATTTTGAACTGCTTTTGGGCAGGTTAGGCAACTATGTTAAGGATAGAATCTCTGCAAGTACCATGTATAAATTTCACTCTTTGCTACCATTTTACGACCAAAATTTAATTTACATTATCTTAGTGACCGTCCGGCAAGATCTAAAGGGACTCTCAGGGAGGGGGCTATCCTTTCTTCTAAATATTCATATCATCATTAAATGATAAAGTATAATAATTGGCTAGAATGTATTATGAATGATGTTGCTTTGAGTATATCCTTGAAGTTCTAAATGTCACATATTTTATAAATGATGTTCATTTTGTGTAAGTCAATCTCTGATCCGTCGACCTAAGTAATTCAGGTTTGAGAGTTAAGATATTACAGTAGGAGTATAAAAGGCCAAGGATGTTGGGCCGACCCAAGTTATTTAAATTGTAATTGTAGGCCTGCACCCCATTGTTTCGTGTATGAATAAAGTATTAGGGCTATGTGGAGGATGTTACAAACTCATTCACTCATATTTACCACTACGATTAAAATAAATTGAATTAAGTTATTTGTACCCAAAAAATTATACCTCACTTTATACCTCAAAGGCATGCGCCAACATTTTATGTCAGTGTAATGGTTTACAATGATAGAAAATGTCAGTGTAATTTTTTAATTACCCTCGCATTTTATGCCAGTGTGAACCGTGAAAATATCAGTGCATCTCTTTGGGGTACATTTTTTGGTGTACGCCTAGCATGGTTGAAATGAATTTTCTCTCATGTCGCGTAGCATAGATTCGCCAGGCATCGTTATAAGAGCAAATTTATTGGGGATTGCTTAGGGGAGTTCTTAGCTAAGGAATAGTTGTTTCCCTAAGCAACCCATGCTCCACTTAAACTCCACATAGGCTCCACATTAACTTTTAAATGCTAAGCAACTCCTCATGATTCTCCTTTGATACTTAAGCTAGGGGATCAATAGAGTACCTAAATTCAAAATGTAAAGGATATGTAAATTAGTAATTCCAAGAGCAAAAAACTCATATTTTTGAAAAATGATTCTAAATTTTCATTTTCTAAAATAATAGACATAAAGCTAGTGATGAAAAATCAAACAATTTATAAAATAAAAAAAACATTGCTGGATGAAAAGAGTCTAATCTATTTTCACTCCTAACATTTGTGTGATATATCCAACTACTTAAAAAGTGAAATTATTTAGGATACCTCAAAATTTTGGATTATTTTTGTCCAAATGACAATTTACTTGGCGTAATTATTTGATGACTTTGATCGGTAGTTATAAAATATGAAGACTTTGACAATTAACTTCTAGTTTTTTTCAATTTTTTCTAATATCTTTAAATTTTTCCCATCTCCTAGTTTTTTTCAATTTCTTTTAATTTCTTCTAGTTCCTTCTAGTTTTTTCAGTTTTTTCAATTTCTTCAAATGTTTGTTTCCCCAACTGTTCCCATTTTCTTCAATCTTTATTTACTCTCAAAATTTGACTCTAAAAACAATATGTTTTTCATGTATTATAATACTAATTATTATTATTATTATTATTATTATTATTATTATTATTATTATTATTATTTTATTATTATTATTATTATTATTATTATTATTATTATTATTATTATTATAACTATAGGTTATAACTTATGTCAATCTTTCTATTTTTATTTTAACCATGTCACTATTTTGTGATTACATTCTTTATTATTTTTTCTTCCATTTTTAATATAAATAATACAGAGTATAATTTTTGGGGAATGGTTTTTACAATTGACATTACACGAAACTATGCTCCAAAAATTATACTCCGTAGATATTTTATTAATCAAAATTAACCTAAAAAAAATTTAATATTTTAAATTAAAAAATGATAATGCCATTATATAGTGGTATTTTATATTGAAATTATTAATGGTTGGAGATAAAAATTTGAAGCTCTTATGTTATTAAAAAGGGATAATAACTTCGAATTTCTTTTTAATTCCTATCAATTTCAAACGGATTCTCGTATTAAAAAATGATTTTTTTTATATTAAACTATAGTTATACATTTTTCTTATCTTTTAATTTTTTATATTAAAACTAAAGTGGTTTAAAAAGAACAAGTTCTCAAAATAGTCTTTTATAATGGGGAATTTCCATATTTAGTCCATCTTATCAGATATTATTTTCATGGTCCTTATTGATTGGGTACCATTCCACGTTTGGTCCTTGTATCCAATTAATAAGGACTATCTACTTAATATTTGATAAATATGGACTAAATATGGAAACCCCCTATTTATAAAGAACTATTTAGAGAATTTATTCTTAAAATATACTTAAATAAATTTTTAAAGTTTTTTTCTAGTTTTTTCTTATTTGTTCTAGTTTTTTAAATTTCTTCCAATTTTCGAATTTCTTCTAATTTATTTTTGTTTCTTCTAAAATTCATCTGTTTTTTTCAACCCTAAAAAGTCTCTTACTAATAAAAATGTGGAGATAAATAATTAGTAGTGAAGATGCATATATGTTGACATGCTTTAAGATCAGAAGATATGTCCGGACAAATTGGACAAATTCATGTTGTCGATTAAAGTCATTCCGACAGTAAACAAAAGATCAAAATTAATTCTTATAAATCCATAAGTATATACTCCCAATATAGTAGGAATCTATATCGTCCGCCGCCTCTCCCAATATTGGTATAGAATTTCGTTGCCCATTATAAAATTTAAGTGAAATTAATTTTTATATTATTTTATATACAAAATGGTGTAAAACTAAAAAATAAAAATAACATATTTTACATTAAAAGTTCTATAAAATTAAAAGTGGCATCGCTATATTATTTTGAATAATGTGTGACCTTGTGAAAAAATAATAATTTTTGAACCCAAAAATAATTTATATGCCGTTAATAGTGTTGTAGCTCTGGGCCGAATCTATTTCTCGTTGTTGGGACCCCGGGCGCCTCCAGACTCCGACCCGACTAGAGTATAAGAGTCTGTTCTTTAGAGATTAAACTTTTAACTTCCAGTTACTTCGAGACCATTCAAGTTTCTTCCAGTTTCTTCCAGTTTCTTCCAGCTTCTTCTAGTTTCTTCTAGTTCTTTCAATTTCTTCTAGTTTATTCCAGTTCCTTCTAGTTTTTTCTAACTGTTCTCATTTCTTCAAACTATTTCTACTCCCCAACCAATTACTCTAAAAATGATATATTTTTAATGTGATTATTATTATTATTACAGTTGTTATGTTCATAACTATAATTTATTAAAAAAATCATCTCGCTATTTTTACGATTCACGCTCATTGTTTTTCCTTCAAGTTTTTAATATGAATCAGAGAATTTTTTGTATAGTAATCAACATAAAAAATAGGAAAACATCAATATTTTAAACTATATTAAAAAAATTATGGATAAAATAGTTACATAAAATGCTTTATTAATCTAACTTTATATAAGACCCCTCACCTTTCCCTTTATTACTCAAATTTTTCTCATTTTTCTAATTTTTATAAAAAAATTTGAAAGTCAAAATAGTGTAGGGAAAAATACTGAAATAGGAGTAAAATATAAAAAAATGTAAAAAATGTTCTATGTCTTTATTCCAAAAATAGGAGTTACAATGAAAGTAAAATGTCAATCATGAAAGAAAAAATAGGTTTGATAATATTATGTGACATGTATCATATTTAAAACAAAATATTGTAATATATAAAGTATAATTACAAATATATTATTTATAATAAATATTGCATAAATAAATTGAGACGCAACGTAACCAAAATATTTTTTAAAATTTAACATTTTAATATTTATGCTAACTATATTATAATTATTTTTTTGCAAAATTAGTTTTTATTTTTATGAAAAATAAAAATCCTTTTTATCTTAAAAGCATTCATTAATATAGGGCCTGTTTGGGAATAGCATTAGAAATTAGCATTAGCGATTTGGATAAAATTTTAACGGTGCAGATTACTTTGAAAACGCTAACGCTAAACGCTGCCTGTGGATAGCCTTTTCAAAACGCTAACGCTAATCGCTAACGTTGTTCCCAAACAGACCCAAAATGTGATGATGATGATGATGATGATGATATTTATAACAAGAAGAATTATAATGAAAATAAGAAACTACTTCCTTTGTCCCTTAAAAAACTTCCCAATTTGACTT